AAATTACTCTATGGCGATGATGAACACTAGAAAAATTCCTCCTATATTTCTCTCGATTTATTTGGCCAGTGAGAAAACTTACATGAAGATACTGGAAAACATTCCATACAATTGGGAGAACTGCTAGTAAACAATAAAAGTAATAGTGAAGAACCATTCAGGTAAGAAATGATACAGCAGTGCAGGCCGAATAGTGGACAATTATGAAATACCGAACAGTGATTACAAAATTGTGTGATAGGTCAGTACTCAATATCGATGCGGTGTTTCTTCCGATTGAAATGTATGGGACCAAAATAGTTTGTCAGTTTAGTTAAATCTCAGTCGTTTCGCTTTCGAAAGTCAGTTTTTTATCCGTGCTAACTGGATTAGATTGCGGTTAACTAGGTTTCCAAAGAACAGGAGCTCAGCTGTGAGTTTTGTTGTGATGTATATCTCCATACACTGTTTATAACTTCCTTAATAAATGCATCCCTGAGCAGTTGTAGCTGTCATTATGTGCCTTCTTTAGTCGGGGAAGTGTCTGAAGCAGCCAGGCCAGCAGGATAGATGGGTCAGGCCAAACAGTCGGCAGGTAGTATGTTTAAGGTCAAGGTCTGGCAGAATAGAAGCCTACGCAACAATCGTGAGCGTTATATTCAGTCGAAGCTGATACAAAACGAGCTCTTAGTTGTTCAGACGGCGTAACTAACTGCTTCCTTAAAGAAGCACTTCTGAGTTATCCTACGGTTGCTCACAGAACGTACCTCTTCACGAAAAGCTACTATAAATACCCTAAAGGAAAAGTGATTTCTTACACTGTCTACTCTCCCCATTAGTTTTGTAGTTTATCGTTTGTGTAACTTAAATGTACTCAGTAACATATGTAATAACATACTAAACTTTGGTTTGACTGTGGTGGCAGTGGCTGGTTAAGTGACTGTAGTAGTTAGTCTAAATTCCACTGGTGGCTCTAGTGCCACACATTATCTGACCGCATCGTATCTTCTAATTATGTGTAATATTTATTTTGCTAAAGCCTCACAGTTTTAAATACAGCAATATTTACTGATGACGTTTCCAGCACAATTTATTGCTCATAATCATATCAAAGTACTCACGCAAATTTCTTACTTCGTTGATACAATTCCGTTATTTTCCACCGCTTGATTTGAATGGTAGTGGTATTTCCATATTCCACGTATGAATAATGAGCGGTTCTTGTTGTACATGCTGGTTGTAGAATCGATGAACCAGAATTCAGTAATCAGTCCCTCTCCCCACCCATCTATATTAATTTTTAGAATTCTGACTCTGTTTCACCCTATCGTGTGGTTGCGAGTTAGTGCATCGAGCGAGATTGCTGAGTTTTTCTCTAAATTGCCCATCTTCATGAGGTTGCACATCCTATCCTTAGCTAATTTCTTATGTTCTGATAATCACACAACTCCTGATCTACTAGTCGGACCTATGTAGTTGACCTCACTCACAGTCATTGCAAGGTATTTTGTAAATTATATTATACATATATGTATGTCAGATTATTTTATTATTTGTTTAATTGGATCCATCGGGTCTTTTAGCCTACAGAGATTGTCTCTGAGTAAGTTTGTAGGTTTGAATGTCACTCTAATTCCTGCTTTAGTGAGAATCCTATGTAGGGTTTCAGATGTCCCTTCCTTATATGATATAACTGTGGATTCCCTATGTTCTTTCTCATTTATGTTACTATTATTATTAGTTTTCTTATTATTTTTACTTTGATTTTGTCTTTTTTTGATATTCCTAATGAATTTCACGGGATAGTTAGTTATTTGAGACCAACGCCTCTTCTATCTGTTCCATTTCATCGTTTAGGGTTTTCGTCGTGCTTCTTAGTGCTACTGCTCGGTTTGTTAGACAGATACTTGACGAAGCCTGTCTTTACAGATAACGGATGAGATGAGATAAATTCTAAATATCCGTTAGAATGCGTTGGTTTTTTTAAAAAAGCTAGTTTACAGTTCACCTTCTTCCATTCGTTTTATTTTACAGTCTAGCATAGCTAAATCTCATTGTTCATTTTCCGATTCAAATGTGAATCTTATTTCCCTTACTAGTGAGTTCATATGTATCAGTAAGCTAGAGATATGTTCTGTTTTTGACACTGTGAAAAAGTTATCCGCATATCGACTCAAGCCCCTTACACTGCATATCGAAACTGTATCTCAGAGAGATGATTACTCAGCTTGTAGCTAACTGGATTCATATGCAGGAATGCCGAATTCGGAATGAAAAACCAGGAGTGATGGCTTCTGACCAGTCTACCTAGTATTTCTGCTGTCACAAATAGTCTCTTGAACACGTCCTATATCCAAGACTAGAGCTTAGGATCTTTTTCCAATTTACCTGTGTTATGTCCCTACAAGGTACAAATAATCGCCTTCTATAGGTTATCTGGAAAAGCTTGAAGATAGTACTTCAGGTGTTCAGCCTGAAGCATATTTTGTAACTGTAATAGGTAGTGCTGAGTTATGGTATGATTTAGTTTATTCGTGATCCAGCACAAACTTCACTTTTAGAGAAGCTGATTTTGAAAGTCAGCGACATCGATTTGGTACCGAAGGGTATCCTAGTTTAATGGTGCGTCTAAATGATAGCTTGATCGAAAATACAGAAAGAGATAAGGATTAAGGATAGACTCCCTTTCGGGTTACAATGTCCTTCGGGGTTTCCAGGGTATTCACGGGGAGGAATGTTTTCTCCTGCAATGTGAAGCCCTAGTATATGCAGTGCTGGAAAATGGCTATACTTTGCTCCTTATGCTCAAAAACTAAGTGGCTGCTAATAATAAGGCATAATGAAAATACTTATCAAACAGAAATCTTCAAGAACTATACTAGAGATTGTAAAAAGCATTTAATTTCATTCCGTGGTTATATGTATTATATGTTTTAAACCCGTGAGGGGAATTCTGCATTCTGAACTCGCAGTCGCATTACTCTTGGCTGACATGTTAAAATGCTTTACTGGCACTTCCGAAAATGGTTAATATAGACGTGATATGACTTCATGACCTCTCAAATCCACTTACTCAAGGGGTCATAGGTGGGAATGCTAGAAAATCAATTATTCGCCCTTTCATTTATGTGGGTTCCATTCGTAAGAAGTGTCATGTGCTGAAGATGAACACTTCAAATCGCTCACTCTAAAAGTGAAGGTAAACTGGGTTTAATCAACCTTCAAACTCATTGTTTTGTAAGTGGATTAACAAGGAAAAGTTTTGAAGTTTTTCAGGAATTATCGCGGAACCTTACTTTTGATCTGTTTTCGAAAAATTGTACTTTAAACCGGTTGGATAGAAGGCCTTGGTAAAAAAGAGGGGTAATACAAGGTCTTGCTGAGAGAATACACAGACTTGCAACAACACCAGAGGATCAACGAAAAGAAATAAATATCCTATTCAAAATATTGGTCGGTACCAATGACCAGAAACAATTTATCAGAGATAATACTAAGGGGAAAAAAGAGTAAAAACACGGCATACCAGCAAACAGGATCGCAAAAAGACGGTCACGACACCATAGAAACGGTAAATCAGAGTCACCTCAAAGGAATCTCAAAAATATTGGGACTCGTACCATGTTTACAGCAAAAATCTACTTAGAAAAAAATCAATCACCTAAGAGATCTGCTAAAAATAACGGATGGAAAATGCACTTAACAAAGATCTTGTGCCAAATGTCCGACCGAATATGTGAGACAAACGTATAGATCACTCAAAATAATCGTGAATGAACTCCGACACCTAGCTAAAAGTCATCCCAATGGAATACAAGCTTACAGTAATTTAGAAGAAATTACTTTCTATAGTTGCGTATGCATAAAACGGAAACCATAAAATCGAATGGGGCAGTTTTTGTATTCTGAAGTCTAATATGGACAAATAAGAAGGTAGACTAATAACAGAATACATATTCATTGAGGTTACGCCGGACCTACGTAACTTGGGAATCTAACACAACTGTCGACAAACTGGAATATAATTCTGGATACACAAAAATGAATGAAGAATAAAATATACTGCACATATGGTTACAAATCATAAAAGCAAGTATTTTAAAAACTCCAATAGTTGGTGTGACCATGAGCAGTAATTTTACTCGAAATATTACTGAGAAAGAACCTATCATATCAAGGTGATATGACATGATTATAAGCAATTATAGTCTACCACAGTGCACAAGTTTTATTCTAATATCAAAAACGCAGCATAGTATTAGTAACTATGGTGTCACAAATCACTAGCGAACTAAAATAAAAATGTCTCTCTCATCAAACACTAATGGACTTCAGTTTGCTTGAATATCTGTTTCAAAGAGATGAAAATATCTTCTAAGACGTTCCTTATATCCGGAATCTGTCGGTGGCACAGCGGTTAGGACGCTCGCCGACCATGCACATGGTCCGAGGTCCGATCCTCGGCCGACACACTCCTTTACCTCACTAAGCCAGAAGTAATGTTGGTAAAGAGGAAATGTTGGGCATGAGGCTAGCAATCTCATCCAGTAAAATTAAAACACTGCTACAGAAACTTCAAGCCACTAGCCTGAGGCCCCATGTTCGACTGGGAAATTGGAGGAAAAAAGACGTTTCTTATTTCCAGAATTAGTCTCATGGAAACAAAATATCGGTGGTAAATGTGGTTTAAGAAACGATATGATTTCCTGCTTTGGTATAGTAACCACACTAGTTCATCCGCAAGCAATTGTCGATAGTTCGTTGGACATTGAACAATCATGAAATTATATACTAGGAATTTTTTTATGTCATAATAACAATACAAAATGTTAAATGTTATCTTCTGTTTAATCACGATAATTTTTTACCACTTTGTCAATCGCGCGTAATAACCAACTGATGTTTACCCCAAGTTTTTAACTGCGTTCACGTTTTTGGTGATTTCATGTGGCAGGTTACTTTGAGACGTCGCAACAAGTTCTGCCATTTTATTTAATTTTGTGTGAAGTGCAGTTTCAATTATGGTAAATTCACATTTCTATATGACGGAAATTAAGGAGCACGAGGAATATGCTCGTGAGCTAGCTGCTCATTATAAAATTAATCCCCATTTGCCGTATCATTCTATAATTGAAGAACTGAAAAATGTACTTGATTCCAAGCGTTCAGATCTGCAAAAGCTCTATAAAATGAAAGCTGGGGTACAGAAGTTACAGGATGCTGCGGGTGGGAGTTTTTCTGCTGTCGTTCGCTCAAGCAGTGACTTCATAAATGGACCCATTTTATCTGGACCGAAAGAAAGCTACACCTTGGATCGAAGATCTAGTCGTGTCACCACTTCAGAAGTCATTAAAGGAATTAACAGTGACGTTCAAGACTTGGCAGAGGATATCGGAGACTTAGAAACGTCGCTTCTTTTACTAAAGCACTACCAACCCAGTTTAGGTAATTATATGTCCAGTTGATGTTTACACATCCGTTTCGCAGATTGTCAGAATTCTGTCGCAAATTCAGTTGGTGGTTGCGATAGCATAGAGCAGCGTCTGGGAGAGTTACAAAAGGCCTTGGATATAGAGTTGCAGGTAGTTAACTGTTCATGTTTTCAGTTTTTGTCCGTGTTTAGGTTCGCAGTGGAGCAGAGCGTCTAATTCAGACATATAAATCAGGTCCTCGTCATATTCTGGATGAAGCTAAGAAACAGTATGAAAATGCCAACAACAAAATTGGATTTATTCGTAATCAAATGATTCGTGTGAAACAAATGAATGAAGGATTTTGCCAGGTAAACATTTCATGACTCATTAAATTAGCCTCTGAGGTGTTGATATGCGCAGGGATAATTTTAAAACTTCATTTAATTGCATCTATTTCTGCATGTAGACGACAAACTCTATGAACAAGTATCTTTTTAGTTTTAGACACGTCTCTTAGTCTGAGGGGGTAGTAAAAATGTTTATTCCTGGAGCTTAGTAAACCACGGACTTTCTCAATACTGTCTATCAGTTTGTAATGTCTATGACTTGGAGTCACCTCAACCACAACAGATATTCGGGTGTTTTCGCTAGTCCTATTTTTTATTTTGTCATGTTTTTTGTTTTTACTGCTGCTACTCTCTCCCTCTCCGTTTCACTCTCTTCCCAGACGGTAAGTCTTGGATGTTTGTGTGCATTGTTTTCTATGTTGTAGCTGAGTATACTTAGGAAGTTAGAAGGAACTAGCTGCATATTAACTGATACCTACTGCTATCTGATTCTTGATATTCCACCAAGCCTTTTATCAGTAGGATATCAGAGTCGATAGAAGTTGTGAAGCTACATAGATTGAGGTGGCTAGGCATGCGTAACACATTTACTAACCGTCGCCTTCCTCGAAGAGCAATATTATTAGCTGACATAAGATCAGGTTGTTAAAATGAGCTAATGGTATTCAAACCAAAACTTAGAATCAGTCCATGAAATCTTAGACAGTTAGTTTGAGGCATGTAGGGAGGTGCAGACTACCGGGTTAGGGTAGTGAGGGACTTAAAGCACCGATGACTAGAGTCTATTAGTGATATGGCTCGAAGTCGTCCTCAGTGTCGAGGATGCATTCCTCTTTGTAATCTGCCATATCCACTCAACCCTGTTGTTTTTCCATATCACTACCTTCTTCACACTTGCTTATCTTTCTCTCGGACCTCTTCTCTCTTTTGTCGTCTTCTGTGTGTTACGTGGAGTTTGGCAACTCGAACTGCTACACTTCTGTGCAAAGTTCTATGTTGAAATCAGCCAGTGAGAGTGGACAGTCATATCCGCATATCAAACACGATACAGTTTGTTAACTTCTTTTTAATAGTCATACGTAACCATGAAAGTACTAATAACTATCTGAATAAATAGCCCGAGCACATTCCTACTTACATATTTTTTGTCACGAACGCTTAGCATGTAAAAGCAGAGTATTTCTTTGTTGCTTCTATTTATTTTGCACTAATAAGTTGCTAAAAGCTGCTCGTGTTAATGAATAATGATTTTAAACAGCAAGAATGTAGGTATCATGTGAAATGGTACAATACCACGCATTCAAAGGTATGTCTCATCATGCGTACTAGCCAGAGACTTTTAAGTAGTAAATTTAAAAGGTTTTCAAGTTTAGCTTTGGCGCTGGGAGTGGTTGAGTAAATATACAATTACTCTTGATCTTCGGGGTATCCCAATCCACCTAACTCGTCCGTTCTCGAACAAGTGGGGTTCATAGCCTGTTACACGGAAAACTTGTCTTTGTTACCTTAGTTTTTCCTATTTTGATGTCATTCATTTTTATTTTAGTTTATAAAACGGTAACAGATGAGAACAGAGTATGTTTTTATGAGCATATTCATTAATTTTCGTCAAAATAATTATTAAAAGTTACTGATGATTGGTATCTACCATGTGTTGTACTCCATCGTCAATTTGGCTAGATAAAAGTTGATGAAGGTGACTGTCTTTTGTCGCTAAGTAGGTGGTATCCATTTGAAGGTATTTAAAAACAAACTAGAGTACGCAGTCTAAATAATTCTGTTACAGGACTACGTGGATGGGATCGCAGCGTGTTCTTGGTAGCTTAACAGAGAATATTGATGCTTTCGTGTATTGCATTGTCAATCGCAAGTCTTACTACATTGCAACATTTTGTATAATAAAATAACTGGACTAGAAAGTTACTCGGGTTTGTATTGAAAACATGACATTCTTCCTATAGATATCCGAAAAATGTGATCTAGCTTACTATAAGGAAGCGGAAGAAAAACTGTAAATAACTGACATTCATGCATTCATCTAGATGATTCATTGACCACTCATAGACTGTATTTTAGACTGCTGCAATAGCTCTTCATAGTTTGCACTCATTTCCATCACAGGAACTACATATTGTAGATGATTCACTGTTTGGTGGATGTGGCTCACTTACTGTTGATATCCCATTCATGAATGTTTGAATTGAGTGGAATTACATACTGTCTTGTGGATCTCAAAATAACAGCACTGCAGTGGGTAGTAATTCTCATTTGTTCTTGATGTGAACTGGTATCATGTACTGTGACTGACTGGTTAAAGTCTTTGCGGTTTTTCAGTCATTACTTCAAAACATTTTATTTTAGAGTAGGGTTTACTATGCTTACTTCCTTAGGATATGGAGTCCTTTTAATGGGCTAGTACCTAGAAAAAAACTCGCTTGGTGCTTGTAAAGTGACGTTATTTGTAACCTCAGTGAGACGTCCTATTCCCCATTGAAAGTAATTTCCTTCGAAATCTTATGTGGCTGCCACATATGCCCGTTAAATTGCAGTGGAGTGAGGAAGTAATGTTCTTCAAATGTGGTCGGAAAAAGATAAGTACTGATGTAGTTCAATGCAAGTCAGCCGATTGTACACCACGTGTAATGTACAAATGTGTGACCACTTTGCCAGTCCGTCGTAATATTACGACTGATTTTAATAATGTGTGTGTTTGTGCTGTCGAATACTCCGTTATTCCTTATTTAGTACCTTTTTATATATGCCATTACTACCTTAGCATATTTCTGTTTCCATTTTATTCATACTGGGATGATCATTCATAATTTGTTGACGTCTAATTTTCCTCCAGTCAGATACGTCATCCCTTGGTTCAGGTGCAGACAGTTTATCTGATACATCTAAAACTAACGGTTCTATGACATCTGTGTCTAACAATCAAGAGAGTTTTCTAATATGGAAAGACAAAGTCATAGAGTTGGCACACCGTTTACGAGTTGAACGTGCTTTATTTACTGGTAGTCGGAAGGCTGTTAATGCCGTGCTGGACAATCAAGCTCATGTAGATAAATACAGAAAACTGCAGGTATGATTTTTGGTTTTATCTTTGCTTTGTCATATTTGTTGGAAGAAAGTTAACTACAACATTCACGTTCGCAAAAACGATAGCGCTGTGGCACTGTGCCTAACTATTTTCAACTTCATATTTTTTTCTCCTGTCCCATGAACTCTCGTGGAGTTTCACCAACATCCGCATAAGTGTCTACCTGATACGATGTTATTGTGTCTTTATGCTAATTTGTTAAGCAACGCGGTACGCGCAGTGCCCTGCCCAAGTTTCTCCATCTGTTCATATATGTAACTATCGTTCGCTTGAGGTGCACTTTTCGAAGCATACATATATTTGTAGTGCACTATTGTGTTCTGGATGTGAATACCTTGCCGTGACTCGTATACTTTTTCTTGAAGAAGACTGTTCACACTCTGTGCGTCGGTGGCACAGTGGTTAGGACTCTCGCCGACCATGCACATGGTCCAGGGTTCGAGCCAACGCCGGCGCACACCTGATATCTATGGTCGGCCTGCAAAATTTGGGCTACCGATATCCACGCTGAAAATTCCATACTTGTACCAAAAATACAGTGTGGAATCAAGCTGTAAATCAAAAAAAAAAATAATATCTTCAGTATACGTGTGATTTTCTACTCAAATGACAGACAATTAATACTAATCTATTATGGCTACTTTCTAGCTACAAGGCTGTTATCACCTAAACACATTTCCGCAGTTAGGTCATGGCTTGTCCTATGAAGTAACTTTTAGAGTATTTATTTCAAAGATGTTAGTCTTTTATGAAACAAGTGTGCCCGTTAACTAGGTGTAATAGATATTCACCTATAAAAGGTTAAAAGCTGTATTGTAATAACGTCGTAGGCAATCAGCTTTCACGTAAAAATGAACCTTTCGCTCAGTAACACACACTGTTAAGTCAATTCACTAACTAGTTATGGAATCATCTTTAGTTCGCAACAGTATGTGTTATGTTAAGGAGGGTAACATTATCCCATTCCTCGAAATGTGAGGTGGAATTTAATATTTCAACTACTCAATGAAACCTGTAGGCATTTTCGCACTCTATTTTCATGCTTCTTTTTTCAGCTGTTATGTAACTTTCCATTGACTTTTTATAGGTTCTTCAGGAGGCTCGCGAATCACTCCACAGACTTTATCTATTTCAAGAATCAATAAAACCACTTCTGAAAAGACCACCATCAACACAGTCATCTGAAATGATTTCTTCTATTGTCGATGACCCAGAAATGACTTCACTATTATCTTCACCGTGGTCTAATACTTCGTTTCATGCAAACAGCTCACTGTCGATACCAAACCCACCTACTGCGATTACCGGCAGTCTGGAGGTTCGGTGTTTAGGTTGTCAGGATATTGTGGATGTGTTTCCAGCGGACCTTGTAAATAACGAACTTTCAGGCACATCGACCAACAAAGGGATTAATGCTACCCCAACAGTTATGACATCGCGTATATCAGATAATCATTGGGGTAAGTGATTATGTGGTATACACTTGTTTGAATTGCATTGTAAATTATGTTTTACAAGTAATTCGTTTATTTGATTTATGTTACTAGAAGGGTAGATTTGTGGAATTTTATTTTAAAAAGAGCAACTTAGGGACTTTCTGAACTTTATATTTTCCAAAATTTCAATTTATTTTAAACTGCTTCTCAATGATGGTAATCCACTAAGAATTACGTGCTGAAGTAATTTACATTTATGAGAATGCTATAGTTGAGTTAGGCGAAACTGATGTAGTTCGCAAGCTGTATATTCTGATTCACATCCATTTCACTCAGTTCAGTATGTATACTTAATTATGTGTCTATTCCTCTTTACAAAGTTAAAGTTAGTCAACCAAGCCTCTGAATTTCCACCCTTTTCTCGTATTGTGCTCAATATATACAAAAATGGGAAGTTGTGAAGTGTTTATTTTGGTGTGAACTGATTATAATTTGGTTGGCAGTCATATCTCGATTCAAAGCATTGAATGCATATTTTCAATTAATTACAAAAAACATCTAAGCCAATACATATATACTTCTCATATTGACTGCAAACAAACATTTGCAACACTTACCGATCTACATATCATGCTTATCTCATTCATGTACTAAGAGAGTATTGCTCACTATAGTCATGGGACGAATTTAAATAGGTGATGATTTGTAAGTACTTGTTTCATTCTATGAATGAAGCTTGTTTTTATTTGTTGTTAGGAGAATACATGAAATTATTATTCGATCACTTTAGAGCTGCATATATCATCCAATTTTGACGCTTTCATCGGTAATGTACATTTCTGTATAAAACTAAAACAACAAACAGTTGTGATCAGAAAAAAAGCTTGAAATGTCAGTGATACTTGTTAAGTCTCATAAAGCTTGCATTCATGATTTTCGTGCAGTTTTGGAAATTAGCCTTGTTCAAATACGACCATGCAAAGGCCTCATGATTTTGATTGCTCGAATTAGTTGAAATTAACTTTAGGCCGAGTGATAAAATGAAGTTTTCACGTCTAAACTCTATCTCCTTTAATGTATCTCATTGATTGAATCACTGAACTTTCCACCAATGTGTTCTGGATTCGAGTCCTATTCCATCTAACTTATCTTAGACGAGTGGGTAATATCATCAGCTCTTAAACGTAACTCATAGTTGAACATATGTGGAATCTGCTCCGGTTAACTGATTTCTCTAATCGACATACCATTCAATATATTGTCTCTTGCCGTCACTCATATCCTAAGGAGAATTATGTTGCACCAAAACGTCTTTTCTGGTGGCCCGGCCGATAACTACTACCTTGTCGTGGTGGTCGGGCTTGAATACCGTAATGACCCAACATGCTAAACTGACTGGGACTCTGTCTCTGCAGGTCCTACCATGTCAGGAAGGTTGTTTGGATAGCGGTCAAACTAAAAGCAGTTACCATGGCGTACATGGGCTCCAGTATCCAATCGGATCAAATGGAGTATGAACCCATATGGGTCACCGGGAACCATAGGAATGCAGCTCCTGACGCTGCTCCGCTGCCTTGCGGATTAGACTCCAAGTCAAAGGCTCGGGAGGGGGTCCCTTAATAAAACCACCTGCTTCGGTCTGGGCGCCCGGGCAGTGTCTCAGCCCTCACACAAAGAATTGAATAAAGCAACAAACAATCAATGAAACTTATCGCGTGCTATTACACGTGTTGCAATTTCCTTCTTTCTTCCCTTCCCGATGATAGTTAACGAATACTGTTTGAACTTGTTAAAAATGACTGTTTTCTTTCCAGATGAAGTTCTTTATCCGTTCTCTACTTATATATATATATATATATTTCTCTTCTTTCTTTTTTTCTTTTGATCTATGTTGTTTTATTATTATTGTGTGGCGCTTCCTTTTTGGTGCCATGTTGTACCAAGTTTTTATGCGTTTAAATAAATAATAAATAAACTTCTGGTGGACTCAGGTAGAGTATGGCAATCTTTTTATTTGTCACTTTATGTTGCAGCAAGCTGATTTAAAGTGTGGATAAGTATTGATGACCAAGTAAAGTCATTTTGTGGTTTCTGGAAATATTCTGCTTTGAGAAATGGAATTTTTGTGAGTTACATACAACTACATGTCTATCTGTCTATCAGTTGGTGGATCTCACGTACATTACTGCTCATAAGTTTCGGAGAAAACATATGAAACCTAGTCATTATTTAGTGTTAACGTTGATGGACTTGAAGGCATTAGTGTTTGCAGTTTGTTAGCAAATATCCTGAAGAATTCGAGGTTTAGGCAGCAGAAAGCCAGATGATATTATTTTCATTTTCTGAAATGCTAATCATCAATATCCAAAGAAATTCCCATACCTTGGTGTTCAGAATGTGTTGCCAGCTAAAAAGAGCCAACATCTGTAACTACTTTGTGAAAGATGAGCACTTTATCCTTCAAACACTTCCCCCTGTTGATTTAAGTGTCTTTATGGTTGACAGTAATTTCAATTATGGGGCTTTCATGCTTCGTGACAGACAATATTCCAACCCAATAAGGACTGAGATCCACTTCTTATTACGCTTAGACATAACTTACTCATTCTCTCTCCAGTTATTCTAATTTTTGGTTTTGCAAAATAAAGTAGTACTCTTCAATAAAAGCTGTATGTTTATTTTAACATCACTCAGTAGTTTTAAGCTTGCATGAATATCAGGTCATTACATAGAATTACTTTCTTTTTATTCTCAGTGGATGTTCGATGCTCTTTACTCGTCGATCATAAACGCGTTTGGGATTCACCATGGCGACAGCCTAATCAACAGTGTTGGGATGCAAAAACCACTTTCAGTATTGATCGAGGCAAAGAACTAGAAGTTCAGGTGTACTGGAAACGTATGGTTCTTCCGTCAAACTCATCCAATTCAACCAGTCCTTCAGCATCTACTGCTTCAACCAAAAGTGGATCATTTGATGATTCTGGTTCTGGACTCGAATGGGTTTTGGCAGCTGTAAAGTATGTAGTTGACGTGTTTTGTTTTTCACTCTTACTATGTATGCCAAACTTTTTTTTGAGCTATACAAGTGATCTTTTTTTGTTTTGCTTCCACTTTATGTTATAGTTACTTACGTCTAGAGGAACTACTCAGTGGGGATTCACGTTCTGTACTTCTTCCTATGCTACCGAAGGAAAGGTTTTCCTTGTCGTTAAATTCTCTGATCCTCTTCTTTATAAACCACGATGCAATTTACATCGTCAAAAACGTTTGTTTTCCAAACGCAAAGGTATGATTTTTTTGCTTAACAATAATTATTTTTTACTAAACGTTTTGTGTAGCGCAATTTATCTGATTTGCAGGAATCCTGTGTCATAAGGAGGTAATTAGATTGACGCAATTTAATAACCGTGCACTAATTCCTGTACACTGTGGTGATTTTTTTTGTTGTGTCTGGGATAAGGATGATTTCTGACTAACTGAAATAGAAGTAGATGGATAGTTTTAAACCCATGATTCATTCACTAAAAGTTATTGTACTTAGATTAGTTGGTTATATTTCTCTACTGGTTGTATCCGGGTAGTTTGAAGTGACTAGTATTCTCCAGTTGTGTTGATTATTTGAAATAAAACTGTTTACATTAAGTATCGTTCCTTTATATTTTAGTGTTTATCAGGTGAAAACAGCTTAAAATTACATTGATTAGCACAGGTTCAATGAAATTTTGCAATAGTTTACATTACATTTAGTAATCCAGAAAGTATTTTAAATAAGGGAGTTAGAAGTAATTAAAAAGTAAATTCCATTTAAGATAAGTTTGTTTTAATAATTACACAGTGACGCAGTATTGTCTGTCTGTCTGTTTTCGACATAGAACTTTGCACAAATGTGCGGAAGTTCAAGTCGCCACATTCCGTGTAGCACGCGAAGCAAGAGAAGAAAGTACAAGAAAAGCATAATAGAAACAGTGAGCAGAGGTGTGAGACAAAGGAGTAATAAATAAATACAAAACAGTTTCATTGAAGATCATAAGTCACAGGGAGTGGATGCATCTGCGCCACTGAGAACGATTTTGAGCCATGTCACCAATTGTTTCCAACCATAGATTTTTGCCGTCCCGAGGACCCCAGCCTGGAAGTCTACACCTTCCTACGTGGCTTAGACCAACTGTTGTGGATTTCATTGACTGGATGACAAGATGTCGACCATAAATTATCGCTCATAATGACATCAATTTTAATCACATGGGCTCACAGATTGTCCTATTTATGTTTTCTCTCTTTCTGTCTCTCCAACTTCCCTTTGTTGTTTGTTGCCACTTTCCATATCTCCGGTATAGGCGTTGTGTCATTCCGATTGCACGTATGCGGTGTCTAGCTAAATTTCTATGTTCCAATAATCGATTTGACCCCGATCTACTAGTCTGACCTATGTAATTGACCTCACAGTCATTACATGATGTTTGATAAATCATATTATTTTTCCTAATTGGATCTACTGGATCCTTAAGCGGACAAAGTTTATCTCTAAAAGAGTTGGTTGGTTGGTTTAAATGCCATCTTAATTCCAGTCTCATTGAGAATCCTACGTGAGGCGTCTGACTTTCCTTCTCTATACGGCAGTACTACAGAGGATTTGAATTCTTTATTATTTTCATTATTTTCGTCACTTGTATTGCTAATCTTAGTTTCCCTATGATTCTTCATATATTTTCCAATAAATTCTGGTGGGTGGTTATTGGTTTAATTTCAAACAGATAAGGGAAATATTGCTAGTGAACAACTACCCACCAGAAATTATTCAAAAATAAATGAAGAACCATAGGGAAACTAAGATTAGCAATAGAAAAATGACGAAAATAGTATAGAATTCAAAGCCTCTCTATTACCGCTGTTTAAAGAAGAAACTGATGAAAAGTCCCAAACTAGGACGAAACAGCTGTCCAGTACTCCCAGGTTTTCCAGTGGTTCTCTAACTGATGTCAGCTCATGATGAAATCCTCCATGCATTTAAAGAAGAAACGTCAGAGGCCTTACGTAGGATTCTCAATGAGACTGGAATTAAGATGGCATTTAAACCAACCAACCAACTCTTTTAGAGATAAAATTTGTCCGCTTAAGGATCCAGTAGATCCAATTAGGAAAAATAATATGATTTATCAAACATCATGTAATGACTGTGAGGTCAATTACATAGGTCAGACTAGTAGATCGGGGTCAAATAGATTATTGGAACATAGAAATTTAGCTAGACACCGCACACTTGCAATCGGAATGACACAACGCCTATACCGGAGATATGGAAAGTGGCAACAAACAACAAAGGGAAGTTGGAGAGACAGAAAGAGAGAGGGAGTAAACATTTATGTGACAAATTGTGAGACTGTGTGACTACAATTGATGTGATTATGAGCAATCATTTATGCTAGAAACCCTGTCATCCAGATGTTGTTAATACTGAGTCACCGTATAATTATTAAAACAAACTTATCTTAAATGGAACTACATTCTACCACAGTACCCAATTTTTACACTTACAATAATGAAAAAGTAAAGTATAATTATATTTCAATAGTTTACACACAATGATAAGTTTTGTTATTGGTATTAATTTGAGCAAAATTACTGCCCGTGTTCACACCACTGTTGGAATTGCAGTAATTTTGCTCGAAATATTACCAATAACAAAACTTATCATTGTGTGCAAACTATTGAATTATAATTATACTTTATTTGATCTAATCCACAATGCTCAAACTTTTTACTGAAAAAGTAAAGGTTATGGTCTGTAGTTGAAAACTATTACTGACTTATACCAATTTTGGCGTTTGAATTTTATCAAATTAAGGAGGGACCATTAATCTTATCGTTTCGCGAATCCTTATTACAATTTTGCAGCCTTGCAAAGATGACGTCAACGGCTTTGTTTATTGTCGCATATCTGACCCATTAATTCCACTCTTTAAACTATATTTCAGTCTGATATTCTACCTTTTAGTAATATATCAGTGTTCTGGTGTAAATCGATCGGATTTATGTAGGTTATGGTGGCTAAGCATATTGGAAACCATATTTGTCACAAACACGTGACTGGATTTCGTGAAACATATGACTTAACCATTGGCCAGTTCCATTACACAAATAGCATAATTTTATTTGATAAAACAGCGTTAAGGAATCATACTCTACCGTAATGCCCAAATTCTACTCTCATATCACTGATGAACACATATTTCTGAAGTTATCATGCAGTGCATAATATTCACTGGTTATTTGTAACATATTTGTGATCAGTTAATTAGGTATCACGTCTAGTGGCAATTTCGGGTGGTATGCACGCAATACATTGTACGTATAAAGCAGTTTGTCACATCTTGTAATGATCTCTTGTCGAATTAAGTGTATTACATGTGGTGAGATTTTGTGTTTGATTATGAAACGGTGTGATTAATCAAGGACTAATCGCATGGCAGAGATGGCTCGTATACGACTAGGCTTTCACCCAGTGAGTTCCGGGTTCGATTCCCGCTCCACCTACTTCAGTCTGGATAACTAAGTAGTATCATCACCCTTGACAGAATAAGTGTTCCGAGAACTGAGTTTACTTCTGGTTGCAGATTCTTTAGTCAGTGGAGCGGCTTTCAGAATTTTAATAGTGACAGACATATGGCTACTATAACTTATCATAGTATTCGTGCGTGCATATTATTATATATTTATTTATTCCTTTACGTTTCTAGTGGAATATAGGGCTTTGAAGTTTCGGTAACAGTGGTCTTATTTTTACGGGGTGGGTTTACTACTATCTTGACGTCCAACCTACCCTCACTACTGGTCATACTACTTGCTAAGCGTTGGTTAATGATCGAACATCTGTGCATAGTTAGTACCCAATTGTTACTAGGAACTATAAATGCTTGGAAAAAACCATCTACTGAACTTGAGCTTTTCATAAGTTTTAGTTTTTCTCTAACACTGAAAATTATTTGACAAAAATAACTCCATTACAAGTTGACTAGTTTATAGAAAACTTCTAAACATGTTTTCCTGTGCTTTCTTCTTCTTAAGGTCACAATATTCCACGTATTAATGAACTTGACATGAATATCCCCTTATGGACACGTATGCTCAAAAGTGGTCAATTGTCTAAAATGAATCGATCTGTTGGTGGTGGTGCGTCTTGGACACTAAGTCATTCAGGAGACTATGGCTCTTCAGGATCTGTATTGATGCATGGTTTAGAAGGTCGTTTCCAACAGTTGAATACATCTATTAATGATTCACCAGTTCTTGCTCATGTGAGTTTTACACTTATTCACCTTTTAAAATATGAATTTATAAATGCTGATAAAAGTATTTCCCTATTTCATATTTTGTGTTTCTATACGAAGTTACACCGATTGAGTTGGTTAGGACATGTGTTACGTATGCCTAGTCATCGCCTTCCTCGACAACAGGGAATGTTAGCTGATATAGGGTCAGACTGGAAAAGAGCTAGCAGCGGTCAAACCAAAACATGGCTTCACCAGTCAATGAAATCTACAACAGTTAGTCTAAACCACGTAGGAAGGTGTAGAGCGGATGCCCGGCGCTCTCCACCGGGTTGACTGTCCATTGGATGACAGTCTAGGGGAGATGGCTAAACCCTGATTCCAAACCTCCAACGACTGGCGTATGAAGCTCACTGGAGCTCACCGGCAGACGTATGGACAAAGGGCTTGTTGGATGTCCTGGATGTCTGGCCCCATTCAAAAAGGCGTATGAACCGAACTCCGGTCACCGGCTGCCAATGGATAGTGGACTCCTTACTCCACTCCTACTGCCTTGTAGGTCACACTTGGCTGTGTAAAGGCTAGAGCTGCACTCTCAAACAAAAGGCCGAGCGATGCTGGGGACATCACTCGTACCAAATTCCCATGAAACTTCATGAACTCTCTTACAAACAACTCTCACCATGCTACGGCGTTCCCGGTAAGCGACGCGCCCTGTGCTCACCCGGTGGCCAGTGTGAAAAGTAAGCTAGCTGGGAAATTAACACTTAGAAACCAACTATTTGTTGGCTGCTGGAATGTTAGGACGCTGTTGGATCCTGGTAGCCAGTCTATCACCATGCGTTCTTTATACGACTACAAGGTGGACATAGCGTGTCTATCTGAAGTGAGGTTACCCGATCATGGCTCCCGCCGAATAGCCGTACCTGGAACAGATTCTTCATTCTGGTTGCTTCATAGTGGACCCCAGAATAATTCGGGACAACATGGGGTAGCATTTGCTCTCAGTAACAAAGCCAATAATGCCCTAATATCATTCGAACCGGTCAACTCCAGAGTTGCAGTCGCTAGGTTCAAGGGTTCCCCGCTCGACATTTCTGTTCTCGCTGTCTATGCCCCAACCCTCGACTCTGATGAAAGTATCAAAGACGAATTTTATGACAATCTTCAAGAGGCAATCAACAAAATCCCAAAGCGTGACGTTCTCATAGTAGCCGGCGATTGGAACGCCCGCACTGGCCCTTCAGACGACGCGACAAAACATATACTAGGCAAACACGGTCTCGATCAGCGCTGCCGTAATGGTGATAGACTTTTAGCTTTTTCTGATTACAATCGATTATATATCACCAACACTCGATTTCAACACCCTAGAAAACATCTTCTCACCTGGTATTCGAACGACGGTCGCACTGCACATCAGATCGACTACATCCTAGTGCGCTCACGCTGGATCTCCTCGGTGGAAGACTGTCGATCCTATCGTGGCGCAGAGGCCGGAAATAAAGGGGGATCAGACCATACTCTAGTTAGGGCGAAATTCAAACTTCGTTTAACAACACGCCAGAAGGCGCGACCTCCGAAGCGTATCAATGTTGCCCCGCTTCAATGTTCGACAAAGCGACAAGCCTTGTCCAAACAAATCCAGGCCGAACTAAGCGCCGCAGATGAACCAACATCCACATCTTCTAATACACCCGAGACACGATGGAATCATTTCAAAGAAGTAGTCTCTAAAGCTTCAATGTCGCATTTGGGTACCACATCCAAGAAGCAGAAAGACTGGATTTCAGAGCACACCATGCTTCTATCCTCGCAAGCCAGAGACGCTCGCCTAGCAAAGTCTCCAGTTTATCGCTCCCTCAGGCGCAAAGCTACACAGTCTGCTAGGAACGACAGAAATCGCTATTGGTCTAACGTGGCGACTAACATGGAAGCAGCATCAAATGTAGGCGATTTCGGAAAACTTTATCGCCTCATACGCCAATCATCTGGCAAACGCCTTAACAGTCATGCTGTGTTACGCACAGCATCAGGAGAAATTATTTCGGACACCAATGGTAAGATGGAACGATGGGCCGAACATTTCAAGCAGCTACTCAATCGCGACGCTGGTCAACCGTCTCATCGACCGATACGACACTTACCAACACCCTACGTAGTTGACTGCGATCCACCCACTCCAACCGAAATAGCTAAAACAATTAACAGACTCAGAAACAAAAAAGCTCCGGGCGAAGATGGTCTACCTCCAGAAATATACAAGGCCTGCACTCCAGCGCTAATCGATGCACTGCACTCGCTGTTCTGCTCAATTTGGGAGTCCGAAACCATTCCTTCCGATTGGAGCACCTCAGTTCTGCTACCGTTCCACAAAAAGGGAGACAGGTCAATATGCGAGAACTACCGAGGCATAAGTCTGATTGATATCGCTGCTAAGGTTTTTGTTTCCATTCTCCTGAACCGCTTCGCGGCCGAACGCCACGTGCGAACAAGGCCAAATCAAGCCGGATTTCGACCTGGAAGAGGCTGTGTTGATCAATTATTCACACTGCGAAGAATTTTGGAACACAGGGACAAATTCCAACAGCCGACGGTTGCTTGCTTCATCGACTTCCAAGCGGCATTCGACTCAGTTGATCGAGGAGCACTCTGGTATCTAATGGAGCTCGACGGAGTTCCGACCAAGCTAATCAACCTGCTCAGGTCATACTACTCCAACACCAAAGCTCGAGTCCGAGTGAACGGTGAAGAGTCTCGCACTTTTGAGGTAACCAGCGGTGTCCGGCAAGGTTGTCCAGCATCCCCCATCCTGTTCAATTTCACAATTGATTGGATTTTGCGGCACGCCCTAACCGAGCACCACGGCGTCCAACTTTCGCCCGATATTCACATAACCGACCTCGAATTCGCCGACGACGTCGTGCTGTTAGCTGAAAACTTCCCCGATATGCAACAGGCGCTCGACCAGATAAACCACCTCGCGCCTACTATCGGTTTGAAAATTAACACTTCCAAAACCAAAATGTTTTCGAACACATCCACCAGCAATGATGAAATCTTATCCTTAAATGGAGCACCTATTGAAATTGTGCCATCCTTCAGATATCTGGGATCCATAATGCTCCCCAACGGCCAAGCGAAAAACGAAGTGAATGCGCGAATCTCCAACGCCCGGAATGCGTTTCTACAGCTGAGGAGCGTTCTATGGAGCAAGAGAGAAATCAGTCTCAGGACTAAAATTCGGGTCTACCAAGCTTCCATACGACCCGTTCTGCTGTATGGCTGTGAAACCTGGCCTCTTCGCGCGGAAGATTTACGCAGACTCGAGGTAGTAGACCATTGGTGCCTCAGGTACATTCTGCATGTTCGTTGGCAGGACAAACTCTCCAACGAAGAAGTGCGTCGTCGTTGCTACAACATCAACCAAATTCCAGTACTGGTCCAACAACGCCGCCTTCGGTGGTTTGGCCATGTTCTGCGCCGACCAGATGACGATCTGGTCAAATCAGTTCTAAATCCCTCGCCATTACCATCTTGGCGATGTCGCAGGGGTGGACAGCTGAAGACATGGCTTGGTACAGTCAAGGCAGATATGGAGTGCCTGGGGCTACAAACCGTCTACGGACTCCGTATGTGGAACAAGAATTGGATATCCCTGTCGCAAAACCTTGCATCAGATCGCCGCGCCTGGGCAGCGATGATTCGAGACGTTCATGAAGCCGGCTCATCCTCCCGTAGGAGATAGCCGAAGTAAAGTAAAAAAGTTTTAAGAAGGTGTAGACTTCCTGGTTGGGGTCCTCGGGACGGTAAAAACCAATGGTTGGAAACAACTGGTGACATGACGCAGATGCATCCACTCCTTGTGACTAGTGATTTCAAATGAAACTATATTGTTCTTCGTTATTACTATTCGTTTGTCTCACACCTCTGTTTACTGTCTCTATTTTGCGTTTCTTTTTACTTTCTTCTCTTGCTTTGTGTGCTACGTGGAGGGAGTGTGGCGACTTGAACTGCCGCACATATGTGCAAAGTTCTATGTCGAAAACAGATAGACAGACAGACAGAACATGATTTAATCTGTGATACTATCAATAGTTACTCCTTGTCGCAGCATTTAACTCGAGTGATGTAATGTATTTTCAACTGTCAAACGGTAAATTTATGACTTATTCACCTTTTCTACTCTTCTTTAGGTAGCCAGTTTACGTTAGTTAATAAGTAAAATGTTCTTTTGTCTTACTGATGATTAGCTTGAATTATGTGCTGTCACACTTTTTACACTTAGTGATTTTTATTATTGATAAAAAAATGAAAGCAATTTCATGCATACTTCGCTCCAGTTGTGTTTCTTTCTAGATAAGAAAAATATCTTCTAAAGTTACTAGATTTACACGTGACCTTATTATTATTATTATCAGTTATTCTCATAAATATATGGCAGTTCGATCGACAGAATACCATTTAACATATCGAATTTCATTTCCAATGAAGGTTTTCTTCTGTAAATTTTATTGTACAAATCAATAAATAACCACCTTAATCTACCATTTAGTTGACGAGAGTGCAATTGTTTTCTTTTCCAAAACAGTTGGATACTAGCCAAGACAAAAAATGTATGAGTTTTTGTGTGTGTGTGTGTGCTATGTTTGGTTCTAGAATTTATTGATCTGGAATTAATTACCTGAATAACTACTACTACAAGGTACAATAATAAGTAGAGTGACTTACAGATTATGGTTAATACTTTCCAGTTTTTTTCGCGTTCGAAATTTTTTAAAGTTTACCATTATCATCACAGTTAAAGTTAAACAACTTATTCAAGTGTTGGTTTGTAGGGATTTGATTGGTTACAAGATTTCATCATGATCTGATATCAAATAGAGAACCATTGGAAATCCTGGGAGTAGTGGACACCTGTTTCGTCCTAGCTTGGGACTCTTCAGCAGTACGCATCCACTGCCAGGGTTCGAACCCAGGACCTTCTAGTTACAAAGCGAGCTCGTAGAACACTAAGCTACTGGAACTCGATCCAATGGCCCAGTACTCCCAGGTTTTCCAATGGTACTTTAACCACTGGGTGTCAGCTCATGATGAAATCCTGCAACCAATCAAATCCCGACAAACCAACATTTGAATATCGATGAGATGCTGTCTAACGACTCTATTCAGGTAGGTAGTGAGAAGTCGTGACCAGTAGGGTGCAGCAGGTCGGATGTGAGGACAAGTACTCGCCGAAGACATTGGCTACTGGTCGCGCGATATGGTGAATCGGCAGAAGTAAGAATTCATGGGCCATTGGATCGGGTCCCGTCCCAGTGGCTTAATGGTCTACGAGCTGGCTCGCCTTGTAACCAGAAGGTCCTGGGCTCGAGCTCCGGTGGATGCGTACTGCTGAAGAGTCCCAAACTAAGACAAAACAGTCGTCCAGTACTCCCAGGTTTTACAATGGTTCTCTAACCATCGAATATCAGCTCATGATGAAATCCTTAAACAAATTAGTTCCAACTAAGTTATTTACAGGCGACAATGGTTTTTGTTGAAAAACAGTCTATTTGAATGGCAAAACACTTATTTTTATTTCGGGGAAATACACTACCCTTGCCTTCGTCATTAAATTCGGCTTTTCCTAAGAAAAAGCTCAGTAATTTAGATCAGCAGTAAATTGAAATATCAGTAAAAGTGGAATAATGTGGTCAGGGTGGATAAAGAAATTCAAAGATTTAATTGGTGATTGGTTTTTCACTTTTCCATCAATATATGCACATACCAAAATGCTTATGGATGCATATGAAGAACTTATTCTATGTGATAGCATTTTAGAAAATACACTAATTTATTGACAATTCAAATACTTCAAAGGGATATTATATTTCATAAACGGCGCGTCAACTTTTCCTGTCCGTGAATGGTCTCATTGTATGCTAATGATAAACTGCAGTTTTTTTTAGCTAACTTGATGTGTTTAGTCCAAGTTTAATTGATTCCTTGGTGTTAATTACGTTGGCTACACAAAGTGTGTGCTTTATAAACGTATATCTGGAAGTTATCCTTCATGCACATCGAGAGGGAAATAAAAAAACGTCAGTGCATTCGGTAAATGCGTTTAGCATTCTCCTGGCCCTTTTGTTTCGTTTAATGTATTGTCTGGAACAACTGGACATTATGGCTGTTGACTGATCGTGAACAAGCTTTTTGTCATAGTTGACACAATTAGCTTGTTCGGTTTCAGCTTTTCTAAGATTTCCTTTATTAATTTTCTCCATTTATATACTCTGGAGTCATGTGAACATTTGAGCCCATCTGTTTGCTTGTCTTGGAACCATGCATTCAGTTCGGGGTTCGACCTCCGGCCGACGCACTCCTAAATCTCACCAAGCCTGTATTAAGGCCGGCAAAGAGGGAAGGTTGGGGTGTGCGAGGCAAGCAACCTCACGCCGCAAAAATTAGGACCACCGCTACTGAAACTTAAAAGCTCCAGCTTGAAGCCCTATGTTCCATTTGGAGCGTAAAGGAATAAAAGAAATTTATCTATTTACTGGAGTTACTTATACTTGTCAAGTATTTTACAACCTTCACGTATCTTTGTGAGACTTGTGATTTTTAACTAAGCGTATGCTTGGTAAAAATCATCTGTGGTTCAATGGTAGAATGCTCCGCAGCGATATACGTGGTTCGGATTCGATTCCCGGTCTACGCGCACCTAAACCCCATTTAGTTTTGCTAGCCATTAGTAAGCTCAGAAAAGAGAGAAGGTTAGATGTGAGGCTAGAAATATTCACTCCGTCAATGAAACTTCAAAGCTGAAAGTCACATGTCTGCTTGAAACACAAAGGGATCGGGTCCCAGTGGCTCAATGGTCTACGAGCTTGCCTTGTAACCAGAAGGTCCTGGATTCAAACGCTGCTGGTGTGTGCGTACTGATGAAGAGTTTCAAACTAGGACGAAACAGCTGTCCAGTACTCCCAGGTTTTCCAGTGGTTCTCTAACTGATGTCAGCTCATGATTAAATCCTCCATACAATCAAACAAAATCCCTACAAAAAAATCAATACTTGAAAATTAATCTGATGCCCACTAGTGACTGGCCCTATTCAGGCAGTTAACCTGGGGCTCTAGTGGGAAGCCGTGACCAGTAGGGTACAGCAGGTTGAAGATGAGGCAGTAACTCATCGAAGAAGACATTGCGAAGTTTTCGCGCTGTGTCGTAATTGTATATCTGTTTACTTTGATTTTCTCATTTGTTATTGATGGCTGATGACAAACATTTCTGGTTCTTAGTTAAAGTTTACAGTAATCTTGAGGTTTTTACTGTTATAATTAGTTGGTGTGTGGAGATGGCGTTGGTGGCTTATAGGTAGAATATTCGCCAACTACGCTTGTGGTTCGGGGTCCGATCCCCGGCCGACGCACTCCTCTACCACGCTATGTCAGTAATAAGACTGACAAAGAGGGAAGGTTGGATATAAGGCTAGCAATCCCATCTTGTAAAAATAAACACCATTGCTACCGAAACTTCAGAACTCTAGCTTGAGACCGTATGTTCCACTGGGAACGTAAAGGAATGGATAAGAAAGGTATGTACAGATGAAATTATCTTGTTTAGTGAATAAAATAGTGTCCCACTACTCAGTAATATTTACTAAGATTGCCTATAATTTCTATGAATGTGAAGTGTTAGTGACAATGACAGCACCGATAATTTATATATCCGAACTGTGGGTAGCTCTTTTTATGATTTCCTCATTGAATATTCTTAGGTGTGTTAACTATTTTGAATTTACTTGTATGTGTATAGGCTGTTGATGAAAAAAGTCGGCTAAATAGTTGTAAATCCTACACACTACAACCTACCTGTCCCACTCAGTCATACGGTTCATCTAATACCTCCCTTACGACTCCTCAGCGTCCATTACTTACAATTGTTCGTGAAATAGATGCTTCATCTGACGAAGAAATGCCATTTATCGAGACTGAGATAAAAATCTCCTATGAGAAAGTAAGTGTCTCAAGTGCCTTTGAGAGTTTTTCAAACCCCGTATAGTCAAACAAATTGCTTGGTTTATTTATCGGTGGAGCAGTGATAATTGAGTGTTAAAAACCTGTTGTTTTCACGTTTTTTATTCACATTTGATTGTGCATTTGTATTGGAGATTAACAATCAATAACCAAACTAAGGTGGTTGTGTATATACTCTTTAGAAAATGTGCTTATCTCTTTTTTGGGTGACATTTTTTGTATATTGGCTTAGATTTTCTTCCTGATAATTCGACACTGTAGGATTGCTATTTTGGTGTTATTTAGAGTGTTCTGCTTTTTTTCAGTGTGCACACCTAACTCCTAATTTTCGTAGAATATTATAACTTACCCAATTGTGTTGTTGCACTAATACCTGTGGCAAACTTATCTAAAGGTTGTTTTGTTGTTTTGCTTCTTAGACTGTTTCGGCTGGAGACGCTGGCGGCACTCACTCACCAACATCTCGTCGTCCACCTATTTCAAGTAACTTTTCGTTGTCTTCGGATTATGATGTTGCACCAGTTGTCATTGAATACTCTGGTGACAATAAAGCTATTTGTAAACCTCATACATCAACACGTATTTCAGATTATGCCAATCCCGAAGAGCTTACTAACAAAGAAATACTTTCCAATTTGAATCAAAATGATATGAATTCACGCAACACAGATTATGTTAATATGGACATACATCGATCAAATTCAGGTCCTGTAGTATTGTCTACAGAGAAAGAAAGTAAAGAACTGCCTCCTCCAGAATCTCCACTGACTCCAGTTTCAGAAACTTCAAGTCCTTGTAAGTTCTGTACTTATTATTATTTAAAGAATTTTACTGTCCAGTAAATTGTAGGCAAAACAGGATAGTTTTTATTTACTTTTCCCTATCTAATGGTTATAGTCTTAGCAAGATGGAGAATGACTGGCGATTCGGAAGGGAAATTCAGTATAATTCCATGTTTTGTTGTGATCACTTCTAACTGTTTTTCAACCTAGCCAGTAATACTCTAACAAACATTTCTTGTAAACTAAACCAGCGAAGCAGTATACATACACCTGAATCCGTGAAAGACTATCGGTTCACCTTCATTCACATCTAAAATCTGCTGGCTTTCCCTGGCTCCATTTAGTCTTGCAATCATAGATCCTAGGGTCTTAAAAGCTACATCGGTTAGGCTGATCCTTGTAAAATGTGACGGTGAGTAGTTAGTAAAACTAGCACTATATCTGATTCGACTACACAAACTAGTGTCTTAGTTTTATTCACATTAAATTCCATTCCATTATCTCAGAGTACTTGTGTGCAGTCAAACTTTTAGGTCCTCCTTAATTTACATGAGAGATGGCTGACAGTTAGAGTGTCGATATCTGCGTTCCAATACATGCGCTGGGGTTAGTATATTTTGAATCTGTTGTAGAAAGCAGTAGGAAATCTAAATTTACAAACACAAAGTTTATGTATAACAAATGGATCGTAAGTCTTTATGAAGTATTGTGTATTGTTAACTGATTTGAACACTATGTTACTTGGTCACGGAATCAACTTTAGTAATGTTTATACTATTCAAACAGGTTTTATGCAATATAAAGAACTCTTAATAACAGATGGTATTTACGTATAAAGGATTAAAAGTAGTCCATGTAATGTCATAACTCTTTACACATTGCATTAGTCAATAAAATCCGTAACAGTTAGTTTAAACCACGTAGGGAGGTGTAGACTTTCAGGTTGGTTGGGGTCCTTGGGATGGTAAGACCCAGTGGTTAAAGACAATTGGTGATATAGCTCAAAGTCGTTCTCTCTGGCGCAGAAGCACTCATCACTCTTTGTGATTTTCATCTCCAATAAAATTCTATTGTTCTTCCATATTACTATTCTTTTACCATCACAATTCTGTTTATTATCCCTCTCTGTTTTGAGTCTTTCTTTACTCTCTTCTCCTGATTTGTATGCTACATGTAGGGAGTGTGGCAACTCGAACTACTGCTGTACATCTGTGAAAAGTTCTACGTCGAGACCAGTCAGTCAGTCACACATGCAAATATCGCATTGTCGTTTACGTAAATTTCTTCGGTGGCTCTGAGTTAAATTTGGGATTGACTAACGGAATAATATTCGATTTTATGGTACAACAAATATGCATCCAGGAATTGAGTCTATTGAATAAGTAAATCTGTCTTCACCTTACATTCATCATTGACTTCAACGTTTACTCCAATTTGAAGTTTACCTCTTTTTGTGTACACCTGTGTCATAACAGCATATCATTTGTTTTGTCATAATATGACTTAATTTAAACTTGAGGTTTCAACCCTCATTGTTATCACTACATTAAAAAAAATCTATATATACATTGCATTCTTCTCCCCCCGCCCTCCCATAGTATCACCTGACAAACCCACAACAGTGTTAAGTATGATCGATTTTCGTACTGTTGCTGTACTTGGACGTGGTCATTTTGGCAAAGTTTTACTGGCTCAATATCGTGAGAATAGTAAATACTATGCAATAAAAGCGTTGAAAAAAGCAGAAATTATATTTCGCAATGAAGTGGATACATTATTAGCGGAAAAGCGTATCTTTCAAATTATTACTGATGCTCAACATCCATTTCTCATAAATTTAATTGCTTGTTTTCAGACAAAGGTAAATCTTTATGCATATAAATTTATTTATTATTTAAAAAAATAATCCCAGCGTCGTGTTTAAGAAAAAAATAGTAAAACTGATGATCACACCTTTTTTATTGATTGTTTTGTTTTCTCAACTCGATTTATATATATATATATATATATATATATATATATATATATATATACATGGATTGCTAATTAGCACCATAAGTAAATTTTTTGCCGCCATAGATTATAAGTTAGTGTTTCCCAGGTTAAATTGTGTGATGCCCATTGAGTCATGAAGAAAATAAAAGACAGATTCAGCGAAGGAAATTTTCTCTATCGACGAAATCATCTTCAGAGGCTGTACAGTCGTATGTATATTTACCAAAAATCTATAGTGGTCTATAATTGAGTAATAGTGACATAATAGATATAATTACTCGGAAATGACTTTAGAGGCAAAAAATTAAAAGTTGTAAATTACGCGGTACTCACTGGCACAAAAATAGAAATTTGATAAGGTTCAAACTGCTCTTGAGTGAGAATAAAGGTATTTTTGAGTGTCAGTTTAACAAGTGGGAAGAGGGTGTGAAATGTACAGAAGGAGCATATGAGAGTGATAATAGTGAATTAAATAACCGAAGCAAAAGTAAAATTAAAAATTAAAAGGAAAAGAAAAAATCGAAATTTTTTTTACAGGGAACGATAAGTGAAGAGGTTAAGACCAAGGTAGAATAAGAGACTGGACAGACTTTTCCTGTATACAGCGTTCAGAGTTGTATTGATATATGGATACATATCAATTGACGAATCGCCAGCGCCTCCGCCGCACACAAAAGCCGAAACCTGACGCCCTTTGTACCATTTAGCTTCACTTTGTAGATGATCTTGAAAGATGACTCTGGTGGAACTATGTGGCCTGAGTTCACCAAACGCTCGTGAATTGAGCTGGTAATTGTCTTGCATTGTCCGTTTGCTAGCCATGCCGGATAATGTTCAGATATGCGTTTGGAAAACGTGCGCTTATAATAGACCACTATATATTTTTGTAAGTATAAATACAACTGTACGTCATCTGAAGATGATTTCGTCGATAAAAAAAATTTTCTTCGCTGAATCTGTCTTTTATTATCTTCATAAATTATGATACTTTGAAAATCTGACGACATTATTTCATCACATAATTCCTACTTAACTCGATTATTTATGCTTTCATGTATATGTACGATGACCATCGACATGTACTTCTTCCACTGAATTACTGTTTTATCTGATGACTAGATTACACTAGTCGATCTAGTTGCATCACGTTAATATTCCACAATTGGAGGCGATAGTTTCTTCCACACATTAACAACTGTGACTCCACAGTTGATGTTTGGCTGGGATTCGGTTGAATTATAAATTTAATGTCACAGAAATTGAATATGTGTACAGCCTTTTTGAGGTTCCACCTATCATCTCTAATTTGACAGTTTTGCGTTCAATGTGAAAGTAGCTGTGTTGTGCAGAAGTAGACCATTTTTACACAGGATTATGATGTCGTCAAATGACCAAATATTGACTGCTTATTTTGTTTTCAATCAGATCTCATCAAGCTTAACTCTAGTATACATAAGTTTACAAATAAATATTCAAATATTTTAAGCAATCACGGTGTTTTGTCTATAGGATAATAAGATTGTGCAATTAGTCGTAATAATAATAATAATAATAATAATAATAATAATAATAATAGTGGTTCTATCAATAATAAGGATGAAAAAGCGCGGCTAACTGTGATAACATGACTAACGAAAAGAAGTTCGTACATTCATTATCCCTCCCTTGGCCTATTAAGACACAACCAACTAGTGACTTCTCCACCACCCCTTACTTATATTTTCAACCCCTTTCTTATCATCCCTTAATCTTATCACATCTTCATTAAAACGTATTTTATTTACTTCCCTTACAATCTAACATTACGTAATCGGTTCATTTCATTTTTCTTAGCCTTTATCGATTAGTTCTACCTGAACATTTGTTTGTTTAATTATGCTGTTTTTCCCTTATTCTTGTTATCACACATCGCCTCACTTTTTCATCCTTATTATTGATCGAACCATTATTATTATTTAAGTGTGAAATATTCCCATATCATGAATTAAAAGTCAATCTGAACGAAGAATATTCTTTTCACTAAGTTCTCCTCTTCAGGTTCTTACAATTATAAAATATGTTTGATGTCGTCACAATAAAGGCCAGTTTTGCGGCGGATACACTTTTTACGTAGAATAAGAGATTAGTTACGGGGTGTCAAATAAACAGTTATATTTGTGTGACAAACGTGCTAGACTGAAAACAATTACAAAATATTGTAAAACGGGAGACAATGGTGGTGATTAATCATAGATTTGCAGAATGTGGGGTAGGAAACTTGACAAGTTAGTTCAAGGTTATAAAAGGTGTTAGGTGAGTGGCTAGTGCAAAGTGGTCTGTATTAAGGAGGAAATAGTAGGACTATAATGAGAGGTTCATAATGAAATAACGAATATATGAAATGAAACAGGTAGAGGCACATATTTAGAGAAGAGATAATATTACTAATAATAAGTCCGGATAGTATAAACGGAAAATTCGAGCTCGCCTTGTAACCAGAAGGTCATGGGTTCGAATCCCAGTGGGTGCGTACTGCCGATGATTCCCAAACTAGAATGAAACAGCAAATGTCCAGTACTCCAGTGCTGGTTTTCAATGGTTCTCTAACTGATATCAATCTGTGATCAACTCGTAAAATTCGATAGTGTTGAGAGAATGTTTGCACGAAGGGTATAAATTATGACGAATAATAATAATAACTGTAATAAAAGCAAAGAAAGAAAAAAACCCAAGGGGGTTAAGGGGAATAAGCACTATTGGTCAGGAGAAGAATCATTACTCCAAGTTTGGTCACGGTAGGAATAGCGTCTGGACGTGTTTCTTTTTGATACAAAGTTCCGATGTAGTCGATCTTATTACAACAGCTTCAGCTATGTGTAGGAGACGTAAGCGAACTGTACGTGATAACGACTTTGGAATTCGATATATAAAATCCTGAAAGCTGTGTTGACATCGATGCTATGTGCATTATCGACCAAGTGTGAAAGGATCGAGCTTTTTGTGCACTTAATTTCCTCACTGATGAACCAAGCTATAACGACAACAAATATTATATTATATAACTGTAAGATAGCATTATTAGAAGACGGAGATCATCTGAAAAATGTGAAGTATTTGCGCTATACATTTCGAACAATCTGATCACACATTTACTTCTCAAGTCAATATATATGAAAAAATTAAGGGCGATTAAATTAGACAAAAAGACAAAAAAAGGATTTAAGAATGATTAACACAACGTTTGGTAATCTAATCAAATGAGGATTACCAAGGTAGGTTAAGAGTAATAATAAACTGTTTTTGAATACACAAGGGGGACTTAAGCTTATGAATAATTATAGCCTCAGAATATTTCAATAAGCGCCCTTGACCGTTTTTATAGATGACCTTGAGGGCTGAGTTAACATCAATCTTGTGGTTCATCTCGATTAGGTGTTTAACTATAGACGAAGTTGGTAGTCTGTGTCAGACACCTGCATATATTGGTTTTTCACAATTCACTTGTTTTTCTAGCCGTTTTGAGATATGCTCTCCCACCCTCACATGCAAAGCGCGATTACTCCTCCCTATGCATGTGTGATCACACACACACACACGAAAATTGGTAAATAGTTTGGGGTGTGACACAATCACTTGTGCACATTTGAGGTTTGCAGTGGAGCATATTTTTAGCTTTTTCGAAAATTACAAGCTGGGCTGTATAGTAGGTTCTACGGATAATCGAATTCAACCTCTGTTTCAAAATCCTGTTGTTTATTGAAGACACTTTTTAGGGACGGTATAGATTGTAGGTTTAGAGAATAATTGACTTTTACACCTGTTTAAGAATTTTAAAGGATATCTGTTTTCAACAAGAGTATCCACTAATATTTCGTTTTCTTTGTCTATAACATCAGCAGTGCAAATAGGTTGAATCCTCTTAAACAGACATTTCGCAAAGCCTCTTTTATACTGTAATGGACAGAAACTATGAAAATTAAGGTATTGCCTTCTCCAGGTGGGCTTTCTGTAGATTGATCCTCTTATTGAACCATCATCTCTTCGACTCAGAAGTATGTCTAAAAATGCAAGCTAGTTGTGACTTTCTTCCTCGCCCGTAGGACTAATATGATTCTGTACAGAGTCTATTTAATAGACGACTCGCATCTTCATGATCGTCGCACATCAAAATGATATCATCTACATATGTAATTCATTGCGTACTGGAATTAAAATTTGAGCTGAGCATTTTGCTAATTTATGTGTAGGAGAGTGACACACTGATAGAATTGGATGTAATGGATTATCAACCCTTTGAATCTTGGGTAATCCATAGAGGTTTGGAAAGCCAGATCTCATGGGTTTCAAGGAATTGAACTCCTGTTTATCAATAACTTCCATGTCACGAAGTTTTACTAAAAGAGAAGCTACTTTTCCTTCCAATTTTCTGATATTATCAGAACGAACATCGGCTACGAATTTGCTTTTGTCATTAGGGATGGATAACATTTTTGTTTTGTAATCGCTTCTGTCCATTACAATTACACCAGATCCTTTGTCAGGTTCCCAAAAAAACTAAATCGGATCTATTACGTAATTTATTTAGGGCCTTAAAATGAATTGATGTTAAAATGCTTCTTTATTTATAGCTAAGCATTTAATCGAGATGAACCACAAGATTGATGTTAACTCAGCCTTCAGGTCATCTATAGAAACGGTCAAGGGCGCTTATTGAAATATGCTGAGGCTATAACTATTCATAAGCTTAAGCCCCCCTTGTGTATTCAAAAACAGTTTATTATTACTCTTAACCTACCTTGGTAATCCTCATTTGATTAGATTACCAAACGTTGTGTTAATCATTCTTAAATCCTTTTTTTGTCTTTTTGTCTAATTTAATCGCCCTTAATTTTTTCATATATATTGACTTGAGAAGTAAATGTGTGATCAGATTGTTCGAAATGTATAGCGCAAATACTTCACATTTTTCAGATAATCTCTGTCTTCTAATAGTGCTATCCAAATAATTGTAAGAACCTGAAGAGAAATTATTGAAAAGAATATTCTTCGTTCATATTGACTTTTGATTAATATTATTATCATTAGTACTATTATTATGACTTATTGCACAATTTATATGCACAATCTTATTATCCTATAGACAAAACACCATGATTGGTTGGTCTATATGTGAATATTTATTTGTAGAGTTATGTATATTAGAGTTGGGTCTGATGAGATCTAATTGAAAACAATATCGTTTGCCTAAATGTGTTGTTCTACTTATTTTGTGTTTATTGATACGGTTATTATTATTCTAACTGTTAAGATGCATCCATTCGAATAAAATAAATGATCAAGAAACATAAAGTAGGTGTAACGAAAGAAATAATATTCAATTTGATGTTGCCGGTGGCTTATTTTCAAAACGTTAAGTGTAAGACTCATTAAATCTTAACTTTGTCACGTGACTTCGTCTTGGGAAAGTGACTCAAGGGAAATGGTACAATTTATATGTCCAACTGGTGTATGCCCTACTGTACACTCAACTGTTATGAAAGCCTGTGTTCTGTGATGAATTGAAGTTCTTTACTATTTTATTCGTACTTTAGTCACTACAAGCTACGGATGTTAGTCGATATAAGGTGCTATGACCATCTATCAAATTCCAATTCGCAAATTAATTTTCAATTTACGCAGTTCTAGGTGGGATTTAACCGCAGTTAACTTGGAAAAAGTAAATTATTCAATCACAATACACGATCTGCTTGATACCATACATAAATAGTGTAATCGAGAAAGCAAGCACATTTGCGTAAATCTATATACTACTGATTAATTGAGACAAGTAACTGTCTACCACTCACATCAGCCGGTGTGTTTAGATCACTTCGATCTATTTAGCAAGCACTATTGTTTCAACCACAAGCAGTCCGAACGGATGAAGATGTCAAAGCCCAGACAGAATCGGAATGAGCAAGATCAATCTGAAATCAGTGTGAAATCTTTTGCACTCCGTGGCATAAACAACAAGTTTCGGAATTTCAACACAAATGTGAAGTCAGTCAGTTCTTTATGATGGGTCAGAAACCTGGCCAGCGCGTCACGAAAATCATTTCCGTCGGGTCACTGCAAACTTTTGTCTACAGCTGCCTTCTCTGACTGCACAATGAAGATAAAATGACCGGCCGGCCAGAAACAATTAGCAACAGGAAACTCTGGTTGGGAACAAACCAACCAAGAGCTGACCGCTTAACAAATATGTAGGAGAAGATGGAGATGGATTGTGCATACATTGAGGAAGCCGTCGAATGACATCGCGCAATGCAGACCAACGCTCTCGTGGAATCCTAGTGGAAGCGACGATTGAGTAGTCGGCGGGAAGGTGTCATGGAGGAGATCGTGTGGCGAGGAGGAGATGAGGGATTATGGCCAATCGCGGACCTAGCTGAAGAGGGCAGCAGAAAATAGAAGAAAATGGAGATGTGTTGTTGAAGACCTGTGTTCCACTCGGAATCCAAGGGAACAATAATAATACAATTTCTAACAGGTTTTTGGTTCTCTGTCTTTTGTTTTGGCTGCTGGTCTTACCAAAAACCATCATATAGTTACTGGTCTTTAACTGATTTGTATCTATTATCGTACAAATTGTGTTATTCCACTTTTTTTCTTGGTTACAGGAACACGTTATGTTTGTCATGGAGTATGCTCAGGGTGGTGATCTTATGCTCCATATTCAGCAAGATGTGTTTAAGGAACCACGAGCTGTTTTTTATGCTGGATGTGTCGTCTTAGGCATTGAGTTTCTTCATTCAAAGAAGATTGTATATCGGTAAGTGTTAACTTACTGGAGGTCATGTTTTCTTGTTTGGTATATTCTGGTATATCATACATTACTGCTAGTATATTACTACAATAGATTTTTTTAATACTGTATTCAGTCTAACTGATGGACTGGTTTCAACGTAGAACCGATGTGCAACAGTTCGAGTTGCCACACTCTGTCCAACTAGTACACAAAGCAGGAGAAGAGAGTAAACACAAATTCAGAAGAGGGGTAATTAACAGAATTGTGAGGCATAAAGAATAGTAGTATGGAAGAACATTATAAATCACAATCTCTCGTGTTATTTCCTCCCGACCACCGCTTAGTCTACGCATGATTATTCAACCTAGAACTTATGATATCATATTAGTCAAGCTAATCCCCCTTTGATTATCACAGGAAAACTTGTTTCCCTTCTTGTTTATCGGGATAATCAATGACTTACATCAACTCGTTGGGACTATCTCAGATTCTCAGACGCTGTCTAATATCATAGTTAACGTAGATAATAAACTGTCTCCACCTCCCTTAAGTATCTCTGGAGTCATTCCATCAGGTTCCGTTGCTTTGCCTCGTTTCAGACTAGTAACAGCTTTTGTAACCTCGCAGATGGCGGACCTGTGTTTATGTCCTATTCAGGGAGAAGTTGGATGTTGGGTAAGTCATTTAAATTTCTCCTCAAAGTATTGTTCCCAACGTTCCATTCGTCTGTCGTTCAGTCGTTCAGTATTCATTCACTTTATGACTAAAATGATCGTATTGAAATTGATTGTATCAGTTCATTAAAAGTTTATTTTCATCTAATAGGCTTAAACGATAATTATATTTAGTTGCAGGATCTCATCATGAGCTGACATCAGTTAGAGAATCATTGGAAAACCTGGGAGTGACCAGTAGGATATAGCAGGTCGGGTGTGAAGGAAAATACTCGCCGAAGATATTGGCTAGTGGTCGCGCTATGTCATGAATTGGCAGAAGTTGGAATTTGTTTGATATGAGATCAGGTCCCAATGGCTAAATGGTCTACGGGCTCGCTCGCCTAGTAACCGGAAGGTCCTGGGTTCGACTCCCAGGAGTGGGTGCGTACTGATAGTGAGTTGTAGGCTGGGATGGAACAGCTGTCAAGTGCTCCAAGGTTTTCCAATCGTCCTCTAACTGATTCAGCTCATGATGAAATCCTCCAACCAATCGAACAAAATCCCCAGAAACCGATACTTGAAAATAATTATTTTTCTTTCTGTTTCACTCAGTTCACATTTTATTAAATTTACTAACTTGTTTATTAGAAAATTTAACCAATTCTAAAAATTTTTCTGTCTGTGTTTATTTTGGCATAATACGCGGTAATAATAGCTTATGCTTGTTGTGTAAGCAAACAGCTAAATATGCTTGACATTATTTATTTGTTTATTTTAAACACATACACACATTTGTAGCAAAACTAGTGCATAAAGTCACCACAGCCTTTTAACTGAGAATTTTCAACTAAATCACTGAAATTTCATTTCGTTGGTTAGTTAGCATTTTTTTAACTTGAAAGACTTCCATTGTGGTGTTTGATTATGCTATTTGTGCATCACTCGAAGCATATACTATCATATTTTGGGATCATTAATCTGTATATTGTTTGTCATTTTTAGCGATATCATTGTTTTCAAGTATTGGTTTTGTAGGGATTTTGTTTGATTGTATGGAGGATTTCATCATGAGCTGACATCACTTAGAGAACCACTGGAAAACCTGGGAGTACCGGATAGACGGCTGTTTCATCCTAGTTTGGTGCTCTTCAGCAGTACGCACCCTCCGTCTTGTAACCGGATGGTCCTGGGTTCGAACCCCTGTGGGTGCGTGCTGATGAAGAGTCCCAAACTAGGATGAAACAGCCGTCTGTCCGGTACTCCCAGGTTTTCCAGTGGTTCTCTAAGTGATGTCAGCTCATGACGAAATCCTCCATATCATTGTTTGTTTTGATTTACCTACACTTACGATATGCTATATTAATATTTCTGTGTATATGTATATAACAATTTTCAGGGATTTAAAGCTGGATAATTTACTGTTGGACTCCGAGGGATTTGTAAAAATGGCTGATTTTGGTTTGTGTAAAGAAGGTATGGGTCCAGACGATCGAACGTCTACATTTTGTGGGACACCTGAATTCTTGGCTCCTGAGGTTCTTACAGATTCTTCGTATACCCGAGCTGTCGATTGGTGGGGTTTGGGTGTACTTATTTTTGAAATGCTTGTTGGTGAGGTAAGAATGATAGTGCAAAATTTTCTTTTGATAATTGGGTAGATTTCTTATATTACTCTATTTCAGGCTAATGAACTGAAATCAATGATGTATTAGAGCTTTCCTTGGAAATGTTGTTGCATTGCTATTTCCTCATGATTCATAGGTTTAGGAATTCTCCTACTCATCGTTAGTAGTTTTATTTGAAGAAGCGATTTATAGGTCAGTTAAAAGCCTATAAGTTCACGATTGGTAATGGCTAGATAGGATTAACTGCAAGAAACTGACAACGAACCAACCAAGAACGTATTGCCTAACAGATATGCTGAAGAAAGTGAGGTTGGATCGGATATACATTGAGGAGTCCATTATGTGACATCGCGAACTAGGCCGTCGGGTGGAACCCAAGTGAGAAACGGCGACTTGGGCTTAGGTCTACGAGTGGCATAGGGGAAATTTTGTTAGGAGGAGAGGAGAGCTTATGAGCAATCGTAGATCCACATAAAGAGAACTGCTAAGAACAGCACTTAGCTGTTTTTTCTAGTGACCTACAATGTTCACAGTCCATGGTCTTTCTCATGGCAGTGAAAGTTGGAGAAAATCATTGCGACTTATTAGATCTAATGTAGTTTAGTAATTATCTCTTGTGACTAAAAAATTTCTGATATTGTGATACTTCCCGTTAAATGGGAAACTTTACGTGTGATGTTTACATCAGTGGCACGCCGACGAGTGTCACAGGAAGTCACATATTTTAAGGCGTGATTTTAATCCCTAATGCTTCTTCGAATCGTTTTATAGGTCTCTGTTTTCTGGTTTACACAATAATTGTATCATTTTATTGATTATCTAGCAAAAGTCACATTACAATTATACTAAAGTCGTTTAACCTTCCATTATAGATAAGATTTTATTTTGATAAATCGCACAGTGTTTACAGTTATATGAACTGTTCATATAACTGTAAACACTGTGCGATTTATCAAAATAAAATCTTATCTATAATGGAATTATACTCTACCACAGTGCCCAAGTTTTATACTTATATCGTTTAACCTTCATTTCTCCGTTTTTAGTGTCCTTTCCCAGGTGAAAGTGAAGAAGAAATCTTTGACAGTATAGTCAATCAAGAAGTCCGCTATCCCCGTCATTTAAGCATGGAAGCTACTATAATAATGCGACGTCTCCTACGACGAAATGCTGCACAACGATTAGGATCTTCTGCTCAAGATGCTGAAGAGATTAAAAGACAACCGTTCTTCCGTAAACTTGACTTTGCAGCTCTTCTGGCTCGTAAAATAAAACCACCATTCGTTCCTGTTGTTGTAAGTTTTCTGTAGTCATTTAAAAAAATTTTATTTTTACCATTTTGCTAATCATCATTAGAGATGAATTTTATGCCTTCACGACAATAATAATAAAACTGACACAGATTATTGCAATGTCGACTTGCGTTGGTTTATGCTGTCTGCATATTCTACTGCCTAACGTTTTGTAAAAAGGGAAAGGAGAAAAATACATAAACATGTTTAACTGTTTGCTGAAATTTAAATGTTATATGCATTAATTTGAATGAATTGCTCCAACTAGTAAAATGTAATAACTGACTCTATATTATTTTCAAGTATTGGTTTTGTAGGGATTTAGTTTGATTGCATGGAGGATTTCATCATTAGCTGACATCACTTAGAGAACCACTGGAAAACCTAGGGATACTAGACAACTGTTTCGTCCTAGTTTGGGACTCTTCATCAGTAACCACCTACCGAGGTTAGAAGCCAGAGTTTTCTGGTCACAAGGTGAGCTCGTAGACAATTGAGCCAATGGTCCTTGAATTCTAACTTCTGACAATTCACGACATAGGGCGACCATTTCGAAAGTCCTCCTCGATATCAGCTAATGATGAAATCCTCCATGCAATCAAAAAAATTCCTACAAAACCAATACTTGAAAATTAATCTGATACTCACTAGCGACTGGTCCTATTCAGACAGTTAACCTGGGGTTCTAGTGGGAAGCCGTGACTAGTAGGGTACAGCAAGTTGAAGATGAGGCAGTAACTCACTGAACAAGACATTGCGAAATGGTCGCGCTATGTCGTGAATTGGCAGAAGTTAGAATTCAATGACCATTGGATTATATCCTAGTGGCTTGAAGGTCTTGGGTTTGACCCCTAGTGGCGGGTGCGTACTGATGAAGAGTCCCAAACTAGGAGGAAACAGCTGTCCAGTACTCCCAGGTTCTCCAATGGTTCTGTAACTGATGTTAGCTAATGATGAAAGGACTCCATATTAATTTGGTATTATTAGATATATCACGCAGTGAAACAGTATTATTATTTACTCGATGATGAGGTTTCAAACACAATATATTATATATATTATTCACAATCATATAAATTATAATCACACAACTTGGAAACTTCCCTTTTTTATGACTTTCTCGCGGGCAGTAGAATTAATAGAGAAGATTTTTTCTTGAGAATATCTTTAGTGCAGGTTTTTAGTATAAAATGAACTCATTTGAATTCTTCATGTGTAGATGAATTGTGTCTCCTGGCTACCTTCTCTGTGACTGGTAGTTGATTTACATCTCTATTGATTATTTTTATTGACTTGGAATTTGAACTTTCTTGTCATGTGATTTACTTCTTATTAGCTGGGAAATTCTGTCTACGTTAGTATGTTTTTTATTCACTGATTGACTTAAGGCTTCTAGAAATTCTGTGGCTGCATTTTTGGTGTTTTCTCTATTTAAAATTTCTACATTATCCCAATTAGATCGGTGTCCATAGTTATCTACATGCATTGTTATGAAAGAATATATATCGTGCTGATTAGTGTTCCTGGATTCTGATTCAAAAGGGACGCCCACTTTGAGCGATGTAATGTCTGTTGCAGTTCATAAAATTAAATTTGTAAACGGTATTTCTTGGAGGATCTGGACTTCGCCCATGATATATGTCTGATTCCCCAGAAACTGGAAGATATGCAAGTGAAAAGCAACAAGTTGGCAGAAGAAGCATCAAAGATAGGACTTCAGGTGGACATGGAGAAGACAGAGGTGATGAAGATTCCTGGCCAACAGAAACAGCAACAACAACAACAGACAACAATCAGCCAGCATAAATGGGAGGAACCTGAAGGAAACAACCTCAATTACCTACTGACCTGGGAAGCATCGTTTCAACTACAGGCCAAAGGAACTGACGAGGATATCGAAGCCAGAATCGGAAAAGCAAGACAAGCTTTCATTACTCTCAAGTCTGTGTGGAGGTCAACAGCACTCAGCATCAAAAATAAGATCCGGATTTTCAACTCCAATGTAAAGTCAGTGCTACGATATGGATCAGGGACTTGCACTACGCGTCATAAAGAGCATCTCCAACAAACTTCAGACCTTCATTAACAGGTGTCTTCGCTCAATACTCAAGATCAGATGGCTGGCCAGAAAAGATCAGCAGCAGGGATCTCTGGCCATGAGCGAACCAACCCAGTAGGTACCGACTGTGCAACAAATAGGCAGGAAGAAATGGAGGTGGATTTGCCATACCATGACGAAAACATCAAGTGACATCACTAGACAAGTCCTCAAGTGGAACCCTAATATGAAGCGGCTAATTGGTCGTCACTGTGAGGGTGACATGGAGTAGGTCATGTGAAGAGGAGATGAAAGCATGTGGGCAGACATGGAGCCAGGTGAAAAGGTTGGCAGAGAACCGAAGGCAATGGAGACCCGCTGCTGAAGCCATATGTCCCCCTATGAATTAAAGGAAATAATAATAATATAATAGGTGTGATACATTCACGTATTTCTTGTTGTACTTCCTCATTTAATTTTGATGATTTGAGTGATGATTCTAAGGAAGCAGAGAAATCTGTTTCTGAATCGTCACCAGTATTGTAGTCCAGTCAGTCCTTTCTGAGGAAGTTGTTTTTCTGCTTTTGATAATGGTTGTTTCTATAGATTTACTACGCAGTCATTTAAAGTTTCTTCAGATGGCTTTTTGGATAATCTTAGCTAGTTTTCCTTTGAGGACAACTAGTTTTCGTTCATTGTGTCGTTCACTTGATATTTTAATGGCTGTGTTCAGTGTTGATAGATGTTCTGTGTTGAGAGTCTGTTCAACCTTTTCTTTTTGAAATTTAACCATTTGCTGGTATTCTTTAATCCGAATGTGTGCATCCGTGATTATTAATTTCACCATTTTTTTCCCATGTTGTTTGGCTAATTTCCAGCCCAGAGGGCAGTTAATTGGTGGTTTATATTTGACACTGGTCGGTAGAATCTGTTGACAGAGACATTCATGAAGAAAAACGGGTTGTCCTTCTGTAGAAACTCGCCTTTTGGCCAAGTCCTTTCATTTTCGACAACACAGAAGCGTATCACGCTCGTAAGATGTTGAAATAATCGGGAAGATTGTTAGCTCAGGTGGATAATTTTTAATTAGTTGTGTTCTCTGAGCTGGTTGATTTTATTGCGAAGCTTTCGTCGTCCTTCTGGACAACATCTTCGGCGCAAGTCTTAGTATAAAATGAACTCATTTGTATTCTCCAGAATTTTCCACATATCTAGGACAGGTGTTAAATCATTCCTATTACAAGTGTTTGCAGTTGATTCGATAAACAAAGCTTCCGTTATCCATCTCTCGCCTCACCCTGTTGCATTAGATTTTAAAACTGTGATCTTATCTCATCCTATTGTATGGTTTTGTGTCATTGCGTGTAGTGCTATAACTGAACTATTCTCCGGATTTCTTGTCTTATTAGTGTCAACTAATCTTGGTTTCGCTAGGGTTTTGTACCCCGGCTGAACTACTTTTACCTATGTATTTGTCCTAACAATCACTGCAGGGTTATAGATAAACTAAATAATTTTGTTTAATTGGCTCCACAGGATCCTTTAACCGACAAAGCTTGTTTCTAATTGAGTTTGTGGTTTTGAATACCAGCCACTTTTATTCCTGCCTTGTTAATAATTCTTCGTAAGGTTTGTGAGATCCCTTTCTATGAAAGTACTACTGATGATTTATAATCCCTATTGTTGGTGTTGTCATTATCGTTACTATTATTGTTATTATTATTATCACTATCACTACTATTATTACTAATTTTATTTTTACATTTTCCTACATCTTTCCTGACTAATTTATCAGGGTAATTATTAAGTTTCAAAGCTTCTCTTATATGCCTCACTCCCTCTCTTACATTTTTTCTTGCTGCTACTTAGCTTTTTTGCCCTGTTACTTTAACACTCAATCAATCCTATATTTATTGACATAGGATGGGATGATCGGAAATCCAGATATTGGTATCCTGGAAACACTAGTGTTTAACTTCCCATCATCTTTCCTTTTAACATTACACTTTAACATTGGAAGCCTCCCTTCCTGACTTTCCAATTCATAAGTGAATTGAATTGCCTCCACCTTTGAGTTGATGTGTTCAAAAAATCTATTTGTATCCTGTGTTGTAAGTACAGTGAATGTGTCATCTACATACCTCCACCATACATACTTTTGAAGTGGGACTGAACATTTCGATTGCTAAGTTTTCCACACCTTTCGTGACACCATAGCAATTCCCTCAGTTTGCTTGTGTATTTCCCTTTAGAATTTATGTACTATGGAAGTCAGGCATAGCTGCGCTTCCAGCAGTATTTTCTACTTTACCACAAGTATATTAAACTTTTAAAACAGTGCTTATCATGGATCCTTGTTCATTAGTTGAATATACATAGTTGAGAGTGAATAATGACTTTTTTCCTTTTCTTTTTTAAATTTCTAGTCTAATCCTGAAGATGTATCCAACTTCGATGAAGAATTCACCAAGGAACGAGCAGTTCTTACACCAGCTAAAGAACGTCCACCACTTCTTGATGCAGATCAATTGAATTTCCAGAATTTCGATTATAATTCACCTTCTATATTATAAAATATATATGTCCGGTAGAAAAGAGTGTTGGATAATGTTTCTCACCCCCTCTCCTCCCTATCTCTCTCTCTCTCACTCTTCCTCTCCCTCTCAGCCTTAGCACACACACACACACAATGAATGCTTTTCATCCATCTTTCCTTATACTATTATTATTGTCTTATCCTTTTGTGTTTATGTGTTTTCAACGATCTCTTTTTTACACTTTGATTCTCTATTCTATTTCGCCTCTGTCTGTGTCTTCCAACAATCTATATAACACAGTGTATTTAAATTTATTTTAAGGAAGACACTTTTTAACAGTTTTAATTCCATTATATACATATACCTAATGTTTGAAGCATGTTTTTATTGGTTTTTATTGTTGCAGTAAAGTACACAAAACAACTAAATTTGATCAAATTGTTGAATTGCTTGAATTACTTGATGATCTATATAAATGTATGTATGTATGTTTAATCATTCCTGTATTTCCTCCTGACTGACTGACAACTACTATCACTCACATTTATTCTTTTTCCATATGAAACGTTGTTAATGATATCCAAGTTTACCAAAGTTGCTTAATAATTTTTCCTTGTTTTAATTAAGATTTACAGTTGTTTTACATCCTTGAAGTTATTTTATGCTCCTATCTATGTTTGTATGTATGTATGTACATACGGTATGGCTTTTTTGTTGTTATTATTATTATAATTGTTTTCGTCCTAACACATGAATATCATTTTAACCAACTTTAATCGTAATATCTTCTTTATTTTGCTGTGCATATATTTTAATTACTCCTCTCTCTCTCTCTCTCGATTTTCTCTTTTTTAGGCGATAAGTAGGCTGGCAACAGGAGTTTCTTTCTTTCTTACCTTCTTTTTTCTCTCATCTTTGGTTGACAATTTTTGATTATGCTTTTTACCCTATTATCAGATAGAAGTTTCTCCCATTTTCCTCTTTCCTCTTCATTTTTATTGTCCAGTCACAGAGTAAATTCATACAACAAGATATAAATACACGCACTCACACACACATACACGCATACATACATACATGCACACACTCATAATGTTTGTAAAGAAATTAAAATCTTTAAAAAAATTAATAATATAAATAAATATATTTATGCTTCAATCTTGTTGTCGCTGTTGTTGTTGTTGTTTTCTTCACGTTATGAAAAGTGAACGGATTACCTATATCCCTAATTTGTGTGGTACACATATAGTATTTTTAAATTGAGTGCATCGGTGGCACAGTGGTAGAATGCTCGCCGACCACGCTTCTTCATGTGGTCCGGGGTTCGATCCCCGGCCGATGCGCTCTGTCACCTCGCCAAGCCAGTAGTAAAACTGGTAAAGAGAGAAGATTGGGCATAAGGCTAGCAACCCTATCCTGTTAAAAAATGAACACCCTTGGCTGCAGAACCTTCAAGCCTCTAGCTTGAAGCCCTATGTTCCATTGGGAACGTAAAAGAATAAAAAATTTTTTTTCAGTCGAATGAAGTTTACTAATGAATTGCATAATTGTGCGTTTAATTCGACTTCAGTCATTGGCTTTTCTCTGTGCATTGGGGAAAAAGTAAGTTAAGATTGTTGCTAGATTCACTGTATTCTTTTTCTGCTTCTTCATTGTATAAGTCAAGTCGTAGTTTCACAGCTTTATCTTGCTATTGCTGACCACTTACTGAAAAATCTAGCTGTGACTATGCTTGATTGTATCCACGATGTGGTGATTAGTCGTAAGACTTAGGACGAGTAGGTGATTTCTTCGTGAATTCGATTAGATTTGGTTTGTATATACGTGTTGATATTTTAGTTACATGATGTCTTGTGACTCTTGTGTGACCGTTAATTTTCCTTGTTTGAAAATACATGTATCTTCGTGAACGTGGCGGTCTTTTGTGTCGTCCTCTTATGCCGTTCCTTCGTACTGTCTTCCTTTGTCTTCTTTTCTTGTCTTGCATGTTTTGTCGCAATACTGATTCATTTTCTTTCATTGACGTCAAATCTATCTCTCCGTTATTTGATGTTTTTCTGCCGATGAAGGTCTCCTTATATACTACTTGTAAATCTTACCAGTAGCACACGCCATCCTTCGGGCCATCCATATCTCAACTAAATGATTTTCACTCTGAGCATTATAAAGCTGGTATTGATGATAATGTTAACTCACGAGGACGGATGTATTCTATATTTATCATTGTCCAATTCTGTTATCTACTGCTTATATCCTTTATTCATATCTAATCAATAAAACACTTTTGTTTTTATTACTTCTCTTTTTGTGCACTGTTATTGTGTTTAATTCTTGTTTATCTCACTGACTGTAGATGTCGTGAAAATGCCATGTTTGTAACATAACTTCAGGCTTGACAGTTATTTAATTTGATCACTCTAATCTTCATTTGTGTGCCTGTTGTGATTTTTGTGAATCAATAACAGGCTGTGTTCCTAAACATGATGACTACGTAATCTGGGTTGTGATATCTAATTCACTTCTGGTACAGTTCAAAGATAGTACGAAATAATTTTGTTGACGGTACACTTGGTCTTCAGTTCCTCCTCAGCTGTCGCGCCTGCTCACGATGAAACTGAGTTCAATGTAATCCAGGTTAACATTGTATTACTAACCATTTGGTAATAGAACTCAATTTTTACCGTGATTAGGTCTATGAATTCAGTATAAACTCCTGTTGACTTCCAACTTGTTAGAATTTATGCATCTTTTGTAGTTAGTTATTTTCTAGAAAAGTGACGTATGTTTTCCCTTTTAGAAAGGAATGTGTTGTGTAACTAAGTTAGTAAGTTACAAGAACTATCATCCTGTATCCACTTGTGTATTTGTTTTATATCAGCTTACTAATTCATGGTGCTTGTTGATTATCTTCCATTGTATACAATGCAGTACAATAACATATTGGTGTCAGACAACAACAGTGTATTATTACTCATATTGGTAATTTGTTGCATGAAATCCTCTTGGTGTTGTAGTAAAGAGAATGTGGTATTAATTCATAGTTAATCTGATTAAAAATGCCCACTAAAACTGTCGACAGAATTGTCAGTGAACAAAGAATGCTCTTTAAGTGTTGGTTTGTAGGGATTTGGTTGGTTTCAGGATTTCATCATGAGCTGACATTAGTCAGAGAACCATTGGAAAACCTGGGGGGTACCTAGCCTGTCATATGCTCTGATGGTGTTCTCGTGACTTTTGTTGCCAGATCTGCCAAGGGCGATAGGATAGTACGCGACCTAATGGTTGTGTGCAAGGTTTGAAGAAGGCTGTGTGCTATATGCATGCACCTCGCCCTGATAATGTCTGGCGACTGGCCCTATTCAGGTAAGTAGTTACCTGGGTTCTAGTGGGAAGTCGTCACCAGTAGGGTGCAGCGGGTCGGGTGTGAGAACAAATACTCACCGAAGACATTGGCTAGCGGTCGCGCTATGTCATGAATTGGCAGAAGTTAGAATTCAAGGACCATTGGATTGGGTCCCAGTGGCTTAATGGTATACGAGCTCGCCTTGTAACCGGAAGGTCCTGGGTTCGATTCCCGGTGGGTGCGTACTACTGAAGAGTTCCAAACTAGGACGAAACAGCTGTCCAGTACTCCCAGGTGGTTTTCCAATGGTTCTCTGACTAATGTCAGCTCATGATGAAATCCTGAAAGAATACTCTTTCCAATAACTTCATCATCAGGTTCTACAGCTATATATGCATTATAATGAATGAATTAATTAATTAGTGTTATTAGCAACATTAATTTTGTTTAAATAACATCAAATCAATAATAATATCAATGGATTACACTTCAATAGCATTAACATTACAATATAATACACTGAGTATGTGACAAATTGGGAAAATAATAATAATATAGAATACATGAATTCATAGTCTTCACTGAAGGCCAGGGCAATAGTAATGGCTTGACTTGCTTCTTCTGCACACAAAGCACTGGTTCTTTCACTCGAATCGCGATAGCCTCCACTGTCTGGAGTATGCGGTACCTCGATGTTTTCGGCAATTTTTTCGGTACCCATTTGATGATAGAGAAGGATTCTTCAGTGCTGGCTTTGTGGCCTGTTTGGACCAGGTGGTCTAATATCGAGTTGTGTGTGTGTGTGTGTGTGTGCGAAAGAAGCAAGTCCAGCCACCGCTACTGCCCTGGACTTCAGTGAAGACTATAAATTCATGTATTCTGTATTATTGTTTTTCCTAATTTATCTGATACTCATTGTAGTGTTATATTGATGCTTGTTATCACGCTCAAATATGCTATTGAATTATAATCCATTGATATTATTAATAATTTGATTTTGTGTAAACAAAATTAATGTTGCTAATAACACCAATTCATTCACTATTATGTGTTTATAACTGTAGAACCTGATGGAGAGCAGGTTATGTAAAAGAATATTCTTTCTTCAGTAACCATTCATTCGAAAATAATGTGATGATGATGATGCATTCCAAGTGATTCACAACGAAAAGCCCAGTGAAACTTTTGAAGCGGAGACAAGAGTAAGACAAAGCTTCCTCTTATCACTTTTGATATTCCTTGGTTGTGGTGAACTGCTAATCATGGTGATCAAGAAGATGGTCATACGTTGGAGTGGTGAAAAGATCCTAGAAGATCTGGATTTTGCAGATGATTTAAGCCTAATGTTACACAAAATTGAAGATCTACAGGCGAAAGACAGTAAGTTAGCGGAGAAGGCTGATGGTGGAGATAAAACTTCAAGTGAGTATAGAGAAGACAGGCGATGAAGATGCTTGGCGACAAGCACCAACCACTGTTGACGGAAAAGGTCACTTTTTCACTTATCCAGATAGTGTTGTGTCAACTACAGTTGAGGATGTCAAGACCAATCAGAATCAGATAAACAGGACAGACAGATCTTCAATAATCTAAAATCAAGAATTACTTTATAGGGATTGTATTTATTTCTGGTTAGACGACGGATTGATATTAGTTAGAGAACCGTTGAAAACCGGGAAGTACTGAACAGCTG